TCTTTTATTTAACCTGTATTGTTGTTGATCATGTTAATCACTTGTAACGGCTATATCAGCGAAATTGTCAGGTACCACTAATATGGACTTATTTCACTGTATTCGGAAATACCAGCGGACGAAGTAACTGGTCAAATGATTGCAAAAATTTGTTGTTATCTTTTTGAGTTCATCTAAAAAAAGTTCCGAGAACTGGCGCACTTCTTGACGAGCATCGAAATGTGCGAAAGCTTTTGCGTGCCGTTTGGACACGATTAATTTGGAGTGTTCAGCGTCCGTCAAATGTATGATTTCTAGGATCAAAATCCCCACTGAATCAATGTTTTTTTTCGCGTAGCGTTGATGTTTATCTGAAATTTACTTTAATCACATTTTGTTCCGCATACATATTGTTTCCTTGCGAAAGTAACAACGATTATTCTTCCCCAAACGTACGAACCAACTGTTAATCTACTTGACGGTCTAATCTGATATTCATTCATGGTGAATGTGTTGAATTTTCAAACTCCCTGGCATTTCTTTTTTGACCAAATTATTTTTACTGAGTGTAAGTAGTACTGAGTAAGTGAAGTAAGTACTGAGTAGTAAGAAAACTGACCGAGTCAAAGCAACAACTTGAATGGATAACTACGCGCTATTAGAGGTGCAAAAAAGTCAAAAACGCTTTTTTAAGAACATTACTCAGCATCCTAGTAGACGAGTTGTTCATAAAGAGCAAGGGTTACATATATATATTTATATATATATATAACGGTGCTCATTACTCTTGTATTATATATTGTAGCTGCTTCTCAAATTAGCTTCTCAAAAATTTAAAACAGTATTTTAAGAAAAACAATATGTTTATCAAGTGTATTAGATAAACTGTTTAATGAAAGTATTAGGGGAATTAATAACTTGATAGGAAATTATCTCTAAGAAAACTTTGGTTTACTGTATTTTTTCATTAGAGATGGTCATCCTTGATTAATGTAAACATAAACAAGCCTTCAGATCCTTTTAAGCAACGGCTGCGAATATATTGAAGTATTCTACAGTCACAGCTGAGCATAAGCCTGCAGAAGTTGCACAAACATTGGAATTAAATTAGGATGGCCAAGACCAGCTATTATTCTAAACAATTTTTATTCAAAAATATAATAGTCTAGTAATATTGCATTTAATTGAATCAATTGATAGAATCAATAAGTAGATAAAATTAACAAGATCTTCAATGCGCAAAAGCCTTGACAGTCGCTAATTTGCAAATTAAAAACATAGTACACAGCTTGTATAACTAGAACATTTAGTTAACTAAAAAATTTTTGGGATTGAATAGAGACACTGCCGCAAAACTATGTACGACTCGCATAGACAAACGAATGTCAGTGATATTTCAATCAGGATAAATAACTTTTGAGTTGTTATTAACGAGTTGGAATCCTTAGTCGCCTATCATTGGTGCTAGCTATCATGACTCAGGTGAATATAGTTGCCGAAGAGCTATCCGTTATGCAACTCTATCCTTAATAAACAGCAAATAGAAGTAGAAAAAGAACTTCTTCTCTTAGTCCAAGAAAGACTAAATGATAAAAAATTTATTTGACGTACCGATCACAAACGTTTAGTAATAATATTTAGCATTTTTTACACGGAAATGAGAGTTCAAAATTACCCAATAAAGGTGCGAGTTTAAGATTCTTAGATAGAATGTAAGAGAACAGGCAGATTTAGAAATGCTAATTCACAGTAACGTTCTTTTTTGACGGAGAACCCGAAAATAATGTCGGAACTGAAATTGAATATGGCGCCCACAGTAACAAACGACTTATTGTTTACCAGCAACAATTATTGAGCTAAGGGAAAAGCACATCGAAAGATTCTACATTTCAAAACGTAATGAAGCTTATTAGGAACGGAAAATAATTTTCAAAAGTAGCGACTGATAACACATTATGCTACCTCGGCAATCGTTGAGAGTCTCAATACATAAAGGCTGTATACAAAACCAATGTCGTATTTCAAAACCATTACAGGTTTGAGTATTACAAATAGTGTGTCAAGGTCAAATGGGTTATCTTAGAACAAAACAATTGATCCTTATATATAAATAGAGATATACCATGGATCAACTAAAAACTTGATAATTTAATACGAATATGTGTCAACGAAGCGTGGATTTTTATAAAAGTATCTGTTAAGCTATAGCTAGAATCTGTACACGTATTTAAACAAATATATAAATTTTACGTTGCCAAGCCAACAGATGGTCTGATGTATTTATTGTTGTAAATGCATATTCACGATAGCCTGAACGACGTACCATGCAATCATCAACTATAAACACAGTAAACGCACTACTAGTTTTTTCGCTAAAGTAACCCATTTACGATAGTTTTAAGCAGTACTATTCAATACACATTAGTACAATTTTCCAATTCTCAAGGAAAACCAATTAAAGCATACGAGCACAATAGCTGCGTTTTATCGATAATCCAATGGTTTAGCCAAATTATTTGTTGGTATATTTAAGCTATCGCAAGTTTAGACAGATGACCCAGTAACTTCTAAAAAAAGGATTCAATCTTATAGATCCACAACCAAAGTAGCTGCTAAATCTCCTGCAGAATCATTTTCGGGAAGGAAAATTCGTGTTCAGTTCGATCTCGTTTCTAAAAAAAATTCCAGCAACAAAACGAACCTAAAAAGTCACGAGACAGATATTATTTTCACCATTATCACAGTCTTAAGAAACTAGAAGACGAATATATTTTTTCTATTCTAAGAGGGATTGATCGAGTAATCTAAAAGGCCAAAATAAATAATTGGAAATCGATACGTCAGACTAATCGATTTAAGCGTAGAACAGGTTTGCCTTTATTCCACAGACTGGGGAAAACTTCATTACCGACCATGTCGGTCAAAGCCCTTAGAGACATTTACCTCAACCAAAACAGGTTTTTTAATCGCAGATACCACACTCGGACTAAGGCAGAGCCCGATAGTAGTGACAAAGATTAAAAAAGGCTATGCAACTACACAAAAGTATTTCTTATGAACAAAAAAGGGATGTCATGAATACTATATAAGTACCAATATTTAAAACAACGAGGCAGTAGTTTTATCGATGAAAAGATAACAACGAGTCTTTGTTGTATATTTTAACGCTCACTGTATATAGACACTTCAGTTGTGTCAAAGATAAGCCTAGCAAGGCCACACATACAGGTTAGCCAATAACCAACGGAAAAAAGCACGGGATGTTGTATCTCACATCAAGTTTGAGACGGCGCAATGCAAGCCAGCCCTTCACGGGTTTCGGCGGAAGATTGAAATAGGCGATGCTATTAGCCCCCTCCGAGATTACCCTTGTAATAATACTTTACGGTTCAGATCTGGAGGGTTTTAGCGTACAAGAAGTAGAGGCTAAGTGTCAGTCATGGCTCGAAAACCTTTTATCAAGCCGTATTCAGCAACTCTCTCCAGAACTCAGGTGTTACTATTGCACGCTAACAATCTTACCAACTTCTCCTTATAAATGATATAAATGATGATAATGATAAAATGTTCAACGGAAGCAAAGCCTACAACTTAGGGTATTATAATCGATTCGATATCTCTGTGAGATAACGCATCGCTTTCAATAGTTTCCAAGAGTGTTAATAAGCGCAGCATAAACTGTGATTACTTGCAATAATAGTTTGGCTTAGTATGGGAGATCAATCAAGAAATTGGGTATTAAAGCTACGTTTCGGTTCGTAGGGACTAAACGGTAAACACAGGCATTCGCTCTTACTTAAAAGTGTAATGACGTACATGTTCCAGCATTAATTGTAGCCGGACGGCAGTGGCAGTGACCGGCCAGTTACGCAGGGAACTGTTTATTTTCAGCAGCACAAGAACCTAACTAACTGGTTGCAGAGTTTGACTTCCTGTTCAATTATAATTGAATAACAAGGACGATTGTAGACGTATTTTACAATCACTCACTGTTAAATACAGTCTACCAAGGCAGTGCGGGAATTATTTCATAATTAAACACACTCCGTACTTTTATGCCGTCAAAAAGAGGAAGAGAAATACCATGACAGTTTTCTTACATCTCTAAACCCCTGTCTGAGATTGGATGGCATCGTTGGGGTGGCACCAGCAATGTCGAACAAAAACAACTTAAACCCCAGTATCTGCGGCAGCAGTTGAGTTTAACAGTACGAAAAACGGCGACGGGGTGATTGCTAGTTAAAACTACACGATATTGCTCTACACATATGATGTCCCACAGATAGTTCAAAAAACAGAAATTCGGTATATAATGAAAACTATATTCCATTCCTATTATGTAAGCATTGCGTGCTTCACTTATTAGCTTTTTCGTTACTTGTCTTTTTCATGAAGGAAGAATTTTTCATGCATGGATAAGCGGTAAAAAGAGGTAAAAAGACTGGCATTCTTCCTTCACGAAAATGGAGAAAAAGATCGCTTGCCATTTTGTTTAAAAGCTTTTTTCGTTACATGTTTAACACACCCGGCTCTCAGAACATTAAAATTTGAAGAACGCGACAAATTAGCTTCGCACTGGCTTCTGCATAAATACAAACTACCAGTCATGTTTTAAATCCACATTATGCCCGTGGACACTACCTATATATAAGGACACAAGATTTAACGTAGTGAAACATCGGTAAGAATCCAATAACCAATTGAAACACACCGGCAATCTATGTACATATCTAGTTAAATGTAGTACATCAAATGAGTTTGGTTTGTTTAGCACCTTTAATAAAGTTGTCTGCTATGCAACAGCTAATCGATTACGTGGCGACTAGCAAACCAGCGAACTAGAAGAAGTGCATTGAACTTTCTAAAGTATTCGGAAGAGTCTAGCTAAGCAGTAACTTTTGCCTCTAATGTAGCTAAGCGGCAACTCTCATTTACGTGTGACATAAGTCTCGTTTGTTCTTCACATAGGGGCGCACTTATATGATTATAACACGTACAGTGTACGATAAGGAGATACATACAGTTGGGAGCACATATAGATCGAGAAGCTTCGGGAAGAGTTCGGAAACAAACACTATGAACTCATAGATGAAAAACCTCCAGCACAAACGATTTCCGGTTGAAGAAGTAGCAATTTCAACTGATGTCAAGGTCATCATCACGATATCACCTCCTATAGTGACAGTTATCAGACAAACGGAATAACAAATAGGTTAAGATCGGCATCGAGAATAGATAATAAATAAGGAGATAGGGGTATTCGGTGTTTTTAAATCTGGTAATAAATAGGTCTCCAATTATTTATAAGAATCATAGTACCATGAGAATAGAGTTAAATGTATACAAGAAGACAAACATTTAGGAGAAAAACTGTGGTCCATAGGAGAAAAAGCAATATTATGAAATGAGCAAGGTGCAGGTACATAGAGCTAGCAACAAAGCCTCGTAATTGAGGCAATGGAAAACAGTAACGTAAGTAATCGTAAGGAATCGTAAGTACTAATAAAAATATACTCACGGATTCTATAAAGATTTGTGCAGCACTAAAAAAATAAATTTATTTTTTGCGAAACATATATATATATATATATATATATAGGAAAAATTTCCAAATGGCCACCTAGACCACATCTAAACTAACTTTTTTTGCATATGCTACAAATTCTTCCCGATGATCATCATTATTTGATATCATTGCCACTCACCACGATTACATGCTCAATTTAGGGCTGAAGCCACTTACTAGTTGTCAAAATGCTCTTTTTTTAATGCGTAAATGTGTTTTTTTAATAGTAACCCGTGTGTCAAGCAATATTGATAGGTATGAAGTCGTTAAATTGTCACTTAGATACGCTTAGAATACGAAAGATTTTCAGCGAGGGTAAATTTTTGGGTAATAGCAGGGCAGAGTTCCAAAAAATACAATAGGTCAAGTCGGCCAATAAGAAGATGAGATGCGAAGAGGTGAAGAGAATCTTAAACGGAATAACTGCTGGAGCTTATCTAGACGATCTAATTGATAATTAAAATTCTGACGTTCAAAACGGCCGCTAATTTCTATCCTAAGAAATCCAGCTGTATATTTTTTGATGACCTTTGAGCACTTAAAATCTAAACCTAAAAAAAAAGTCTTCTAATTTGCTTCCTGGAAACTTCCTCAGATTCTTCAGAAGCCATATGAAAACAGGAAATAACGTAGACCGTTGATATCGGATAAAAGAAGAAATTGATGATCTTAGTAGAGGTTCTTCCTGTATGAATACCATGGATAAAAGCTGACCTTCGATCAGATTTCAAAAACAACGGACTATTTTTTGTCATGATGAGTTAGTTACTTTGTTGTAGAAAGCACTGTTTTTTTAATAAAAAAAAAAAATGGAATGAACGCATGTCTGCTACGAAGCACAGCCCACCAAGGTCTGTTTGGATTTAGGTGCCACATTTTGTATGCATCTATTTCAGTATAATGAGAATTGCGAAGTATGAGTGGCCTGTGAATCCACGTATCTCATTAGTTTAGCTAACTTCTCCCGTAACTACGTGTATATAAGAGGCTAAAGTATTAGTAACCATGTCATCTCATATCAGCGGTCTATACCACTAAAAAAGCTCAATGCTACCGAAAATTATTATCAGAAATGAATAATCAGGAAAACAATGAATTAAGGAAAACGACAAGTTGTTTTTAATAAATAGTTACTTGTATGGTTGCCACCTTGGAGGAACCTTAGGTTGAGTCCAGCAAGACATACATAGTACAGGTTCCTAGTAGGAACAAGTTCCTGATGCTATACATAAAAAATGACAACCTGTCCGCATAAAAAGAAATAACTGGAAGTGCTAAAGAAAATCTTACTTTTGTTACCTTTTGTATTCTATTAAGAAAACGTACAGTTTAAAATCCTTCATTCGATTTCTTTTGTGATGACTCTATATCTTTATTGCTTCACATTTTCTTAATTTGATATTGTAGTATACATTTACTTTGTTGTAAAGAAGATATTAACAGTAGCCACTCACCTGATAGCACAGCTGGTAATATCGCAAGAAATGAAAAGTATATTTGAGTCCCGGGAAGGAAGAAGCTCATTAACGCCAATACAGTTGTCAACCACGTTCCAAGCAGACACGCATAAAGAAGATGCCTAAGACCATACTTATTCATGTATTGACAACAAAGAAACGCCAAAATCGCGCCTAAAAGATTAAGATGACAAAACGAATTTGCTAGTCAATATAGGTCTTAAACATATTTTAGTTATACCAACGAAATTTATAAATCATCTCGTTTAATATTAAATGCCAAATATAAAATCCCAGCTTCTGTGCTCTATACTTATTCGTTGATGCATTGGAAATTTCAAATTATTTCGTTGTGCCGTTGTAACTCATTAGTTGACTAAAGTGATATAGATCAAGCATTGGGGTCAAGATAACTACTAAAGATATTTGTGCCATTATTAAGCTTCCATGAAACGCTTAACTGTAAAGGTTAAAAAAAAATTAAAAAGTAAAGGTGAAATTAACCTTAGTCGGCCCTTCTTCATCGTTGACCACATTTATGACTCGAATCGCATATCAAAATGTGTGGCTGAGTTGGCATCATACGATTCATTTCGATCTATCTTCGAAAAATGGTTTTATTCAAATTTTGTGTTAAATTATGGATAAACATCTGGGAAAATAGCCTCCGTGCTCTGCTAAAGAGTCCAAAAAATGCTTTAAAGCATGGGCCACTATTGTATGGGCTCTATATAATTGACTTTCTCTTCTAAACAGAAATAACATTGAGCTACTTCTACACTTCTAAGGTTAAGAAGCAATTAATACGAATGCGCAGCACAGGAATCTTTAGAAGACAAAATCTTCAACCAAGGTAAAAGCGACTGCATAGTACAATAACGTCGTGAAGACTATATTTTTAAATGTGCCTAAAATATCTGTGATTGGTTATTTGAATAATAAATTCACAGTCTGCTGTTTACCTTTGAACCATCTAAAATTGGCTATTGAGATGAGACGCCCATAAAAGTGGTTAAGATGAGACTGCAATAGTTTCCGAATATTGTAAAATAAAAGGGTTTTTTCGTCAAATAAATATAATTTAACTCAGAAAAGGTTTTTGTTATCATGTATTGTAAGTCGTACGAAACAAAAATGAAGATCCTGAAGTTGCATATAGTTAGCGTGCACTGACAACCTCAGTTTAGGTGAGTGTAGTATATGCGATGCGCGCAAACAACAACAGCCAGCACGAGTCATGCTTTTCGGAAAAAGAGAGAGTCGAGATTGGCGCCCCCAAGACATACATAAAGAGTTTCCGTGTCCCTCAGACAGTTGAATTTTAGTTATGGCCAATTGAGGATGTGTCGGTGACCTGTGAAACTATTCTGGGAATCAATTCACTGTCTTCTGAGACTTCAGGTAGCTCTTCAGGCCAGAATATTACGTAATACAACCATAGTATTAGGCTGTAAAAAAGTTCCCGCGATTTTTTTGTGATAGTCTTACGTCATTGTTCACGGCTGTTTCCCGTCCGTCTTATTATGCCGTCTCATCAGAGGATAATGGGTTCCGTTTTAAAGGAGTTTTTCAACCACGTTTTGAATTCTTGATCAATGCCGAAAGAAGGCCACGAAAATGATTGCCTATTGTACAGAAAAGGTGGAAATCCGTCGACGGAGAGTCTGTAGAATATAGAGGGTGCAACAAAACCTCCCATGGAAGGTACACGAGGGCATCTTTGATGATGTTTGTTGTGCGTGGCCTTGTATTGGCATAGAGCGTGACCACTTGACTTTACCCATTGAGTCCTTTTTTTTTGGATAACCTTGTTGACTTTATGCAACTGGGCCAACTACACCTGTCGAGATACTAGCTGGTTTGTAGGAAGCCATTTCTAGTAAACCAAATTCGCGCAATTCCACCAAACGCAAAGCATAACCTTTTTTTGATCAAAATTTGATTGGACTCTGAAGCCGCCAAGCGCACAATGCAGCCAGCCATTTTAAGCTTTACTTTATGTTGATATACAGATATTACTTCTCATCACAGGTAACGATTCTATGCAAAGATCTTTGTGGCTGCGTGACATTTGACACCTAACTAGATGTTGAAATACAACGCTAGGCAGTAATTCCTCATTGGATTCAGAGAGTTCATGGGGTGCCTAAGCTTCAAGTTTTTGCATAAGCCTAAGGAACTTGAAGTAGTTCACGATGGTTATGTGGCTGCAGCTTATCCTTTCTGCCGATTTCCGAGTTGCTTGTCGGCCGTCTTTTTTCAAAGGTGCCTTCATATGGTTGTAATCAAACTCAGCCGGCCGGCCAGGTCACGACGATACTTTAGGCTTCGGAGATCGTTTCTAAACTTACCAAATCATTTTTGAGCAGTTGTTTTAGCGATAGCATCGTTACTGTATATAAGTTCTCACATTTTGGTCTTAACTAATTATGTGGTATAGGTGTCGAAAATGCATTTTTTTATTTAAAACATCCACCATTGCAAAGTTTTCTCTAGTTGAACTTTTTACGATACGCCACTGTTACGGTACGTTGATGGCGCAAGAAGAGTGCTTTTTAACGGTATACCAGGAAACGTTACACGCGGAAACTTTAATTTAACTGAATATAATACGATTTATTCATCATATAAACATCTTATAATTTGTGTTTCAGTATTCTTCTAGCAGTGTGTTGCATCATTAGTGCATCATTCACGGTTTCACAGTTTTGTTGTTGTAAGAGTAATAATAAGGTTTCGCCACTTTATGTGCGTTCATTAGCAAGCGGAGGTTCTTTACAGCTTTTGGTGAACTCCAAAGTCCACTCAAAAAATCGCAGATATGAAATGCAGATCGCGTAGCATATTGTATCAACATATAATACCATAACAAAAGACAACTGAGCGCATCCAGGTATGCCAAGCCTGGAAGGAAAAGTTTTGGTTGATTTAATACCTATGTATGTATAGTAAGTCCCGAAACTTAAACCCCGATTATAGAACAGACACGATAGGCACATCACTTTACATGGCAACGTCATGTCTGCAGTCTTGTCTGGCGCATCAACGCACATTTCGCCGAATGGCCAGCCTGTGTTTTCTAAATCCCAATAAAAATGCCTACACAAATAGTTTCCAGATACTTAGTAGCTAGCGTTCTGTAATTCTTGATATCAGTGCTCCAATAATACTACAGGAAAGTTAGGTTATTTTCGGCGATGGTGTCCCCGAATCCAAGCCATTCAGTCGAACAATGAACGCTGTGAGTAGGCGTGGGGCGGCATTTTTAGCCCACATATTTTCGTCATTGCCGTCAACCATTGCAGGTAATTTGGAGCTGAAAGGTAAGGTGCTAGGATGTATGAACTCTTTTAAGCAAATAATATTAAGTGGCATTTAGCATGCCTATAACCAAGCACAAGTATAATTGAGAAATACAAGCTCTCAATGTAGAGGACGCTGACATTCTTTAACTTAAAGGTAGCGTCCACGGCATCGTTCATCGCAGTAAAGCAGATAACCTAGTTCGATTAACCTACTTAAAGAGTGTTCTTGAACCCCCCAACCTTGCCGAAAATCAACTTGCCTCTGCTATGCGAAGCTCCTTTATTATGTTATGAGAAGCGCAATTGTGCCGCCAGTTTTTTTTTACTATGAGTGCTTTCTGGTATGTAGAGAGTCAGCTAATAAAACCTGGACCGACATAACACACAACCGGCCGTGTTCTTTTATACATAGATTTCATAAACATATGCTCTAAAGAGCAGACCCGAAGCAGAAGGATGTGAGGAATCTGCAATGTTGTCGTATACCTAATCCATCTCACATAAATACAGTTGAAAACGGGCGTAAAAGCTTCGTTTTTTGTAGATCTACGCTGGAAGTCACCAATCTAGAAATCATGTTATGAAAGTTCAATACAATAGCTTTCAAAAAAGTAGGTGCTGTATATGGTTTCGTTTAAAAATGAGAAAAAAAATAGGAAATCTTTGTTAGCATAAAGTGCTTTTTTTTGACGCCTTTTGTAAAAACATTGGAATCGCCTTAGAAGTGTATCATAAATATCGAAATATTATTGTCAAAACAAGCGTTAGGTATTTCTTTCATATTTTCACATGAGCTTCCTTGAAAGCCGCGGACATGCCAATAGGAGTATAACCGATGGTGCGAGTACATTCTTTGTAGTCCCATGCGATGGGAAAATTAGCAGCTTCTGTTAAAATTGGAACTCAGATTTATTTATATTTACAAAAGTATTAAGTAAAATAAGTTAATAAGTATGCATTTTAGCGTCCTATATGTTAAATGTAAACAACTTGTTGCAAAATAATAATGTCGGGAATAGAAAAAAATTCAGTGATCTGGATTATATTCTAATAATTTGTCTATAATAACATAACGTACTTCAAGAGGAATTCATGCGCAACGAACATTATGTTCTGTAGATGGTACATTTAGATTTTATAGAAGGTGATCGAAATATTGGATAAAGTGTAGAAACCATGTATTATTATATCTAAAAATGATCTTTTATGTATTAAGGATTAACCTACCTGTGACGCCACACTGGCCTACGTGTCTACTCAGGGTAAGCTAAATCTGAGAATACTGGACCGTTTGTTTTGTATTTAGCGAACGCTTTAAAGTAAATGATTCTCGGCTTTGTTTCGTTCTCCTGAAGAACAAAAGGGAAGTACTAAACTTATGTACATCATGGTCTGCGCTGAAAACGAAGTTATGTGCTCACAGGTGGAAGGTTTTGGAAATTAGGCTATAATTCAAACCAATATGTATAAGTAGTATCAACGAATTTTCCACAAACGAGAAAGCCTTGGAGACAAACCTTGTTATTGATTTGGTTATAACAACAAATAGGGACTGAACGTCAAAAAAAAACCAAACAACTTGTTGAAAAGATCATCAGATCAGGGTCTAGGAGCTCAGAAAAGAACTAGATTCTCTATAGAGGTCAAATCTGTTTCTTCCGAAAGAAAAAAAATAGTTGGTTTTATGACGGTTAGTCTCAAGCCACATATTTATTAAGTTTAACATAACTTTCCGTTATGAAAAGTCTTAAAGGAAGGATATTTGAGAAAATCGTGGAAATACAAAATACGGCTTGATGTTTGTTTCCACGATAAAATTTGGAAACTGTTTTAGAAACTGGAGAAAACTGTTGCATACGTACATTGAATTTAATGGGGATTACTTCAAACTAATAATTGGGATTGGAGCGATTGAGTCACAGTGTAGCCGATACAGAGCCACATTATTAATATCCTTATGATACAGTTGCACGCGTAGTTCAACCCTACAACCCTTCCTAAGATACACATTTTCGGCGTAAAGGAACTCGATATGTTGTTAAAGCCACAAAAGGCTCGTCTGAAGAAATTATCTTTTGTTTTCTTAACGTTTCCCTCACGAACTGCAAGTGTCGGTCAAACCATATATTTTATACTATTTTTACGAAGACAAGAGCACATGTCTAATAAATAAAATTATTTTTTCTTTGTATGTGACGTTCAAATATATCATCGAGATACGATTATATAGATAAAACCATGTATCTTCTAGTGCACTCTTAGGCTGTCTTTAGAAAAATCTCAATAGAACTGCTGCAATACCTTCCTACTCCTTACAAAATTGTGTAGACAGTAACTGTAGCAAGCAATGCTAGATATCACATGACGAGGTATGTCATTTGGCTGGCTTGCAATTACTCGAGCTTTTACGTACTGCCTTTAAGCACTACTTCAGAGTCAGTCAGTCTAAACCCAACTTTATAGGTTTAGCCTCAACAATAGGCCTACCTTATAAGCATAACAAAGTCCAAGAGCTGAAGTGTTATCATCTAGAAGCAAGTGCCGTTTGTGCCACTTTGTGCCACCAGACAAGTCGCAAAGCTAAGTAAAAACCTTTCTTCTAATATCGTTGTTGACATGAGTCACGTCAATTGCATGTGTTCTACGCAAGGTGGGGACTAAAAAGTACTTTTTAAAATGATACTTATACTTCATACTGCCGCTTACGGCAGTTGTTCCCACATTATTATCAGATCTAAGCTCGTAGAACCTTCTTAATAGTAGCGAAAGTGTTAGTTCTTTAGTACTAAATATAGTTTCAAAACTGGCGAAGTGCGCTCGGGAAGATGTATATAAAATATATACATTTAGCGCCCCCTAAGGCGCCATAAGCTTTATTTAGGACTTATCTTAACTAACTGTCACCGTGGCAATCAGTAGGAAACAACCCGAAGAAAAGTATGAGCCAACTTGACACCCAATTTGAAAGTGTTTTCAATTTAAAAATATTTGTGAATACTGCAAATATCTAGGCATGTTAGATTCGTATTTCTGAAAATGTAAGCCGGCTTAACTACGTATGCTTATTTTTATTAGTTTCGTATTCGCAGAAAAGCATAACCTTTACGAGTAGAACGCTAAAATAATCCAATTCCAACAAAAGTTGGTAACACCGCTGACGATCAATTTAATGACTACTATGCACCGATTACACAGATTACGATCTCGAAAAGATTCGTCCCAAGCAAAAAAAACAGCTAAATTTTTCTCATGTACAGAACAAAAGTACTAACCGAAAGTGTAGTGTAGGACATCTCTAATCAATAGCATATCATTGGCCCAAGCGTTAATTTGTCCTTGCCGTAGAAAGCCTTCTCTTTGGAACTCCTCACAATCATCCAACTTAACCCAGCCGTCCTCAAGACACTCCTTGATACGGAACACCTGAGTACAAATAATGAAGATGGTCACGCATGTAGCACTGCTGCCTAATCTACTGTACGCTCTTGATACAAATAAAAAGCAGGATATCTAAGTCTGGGGCTTTCTTTATGAGTTGTTTCTAGAACTGTATCTAAGAAAGCAGATTGTTTAACAACATTTTTTGCACGTACCAGGGGTATGTATATTTAAGGTCATCGTCACTTATTGCAATTGTAACTTTAATTTGGGATTTAAAATCTTAGCGAGACATTTTTGAAATAACCCTTTCTCAATCCGCAAGTAACTTTTTATAGTAAAGGTGCGTCAAACAATATTGGTACGTGTAGACCCTTTAAAGTGTTGCTTAAATAATGTACATACGAATAATTAGAGCAGAATTAAAGTTTGGATCGATAGCAAATTAAAAGATCAAAGGATTCAGTTGAATGCAAGGGCTCAAAACAATCAAAGTTGCAAACAGTTTTTAAAATATTAACGTTTTAAACCGATGCTAACAGTCTAGTTGACGGATAATTTTCCTCCTCCTAAAACGGCCGTTAATTTTTGTGTCGAAAGCCTAGGGCTATTAAAAATGACTTTTTGAGTCATATTGATGAATATATAAGCTCTTCAAATCTAAATCATATTAAAAAAATCCAGTTTGCCTCAGGAAAGTATTCGTCGATTTTTCAAGCGCCGCATGAAAACTGAAAATAATATCAACCATCGATTTCGAACCAAAAAAAAAGTATTTATTCTTAATGGAAGTTCGCGTGGTACGAAAATATTATAAAATAGGCGATTGGCAGTTGAATCCCGAAAATAACGCACTATTTTTCGCTTTTATGAGTATAAATTATGTTATATAAGAATAGAGTAAAATCTGTGAAACCAAAATAAGTCGTACAAGTTAGAACAAACGAACCTTTACTTCTTCTGATTAATTAAGCTCATTTTAGATCCACAAATTCCATTGCATTCAGCCACGCTGCCAAACGGTGTACTCTTATCCCGCCTTTTAGCGCCGCTCTATACCCAGAGATTAACCGTATCGTTCTCGCGGCTTACGAAAACACTGAGACGCAACTTGTTGTTCTATACTTCATGTTGGTTGAAACCATGGCACAAACTTCTATGATGTCCCAGATTGTTGGCGTGAACTCCATGATAAAATTGTCTCCCACGACCGAAAAGCTGTTCAGCACGTGACAGTAACCTCATCGTTATGAAGTATATAAGTGTTTTGTCTAATATATATAGGACGCTGTTCTAGCAGAATAAGAAGTAGGAACAAATCACACACAGTCCCAGGATAAGTACGACTCTGACAATTTATAAGGATTCTAACAACGGTGATACGAAAAAGAACTGTAAGTCGGCGGCTAAGCACATGCGCTATGGCACTTGAAAAACCAAATACGTCAATCAAAAACAGACTTTTTATAGTTTTCTTTACGCTTGGTGTTACCTCCTCAGTTTTAAGTACAGGACTCGCATCAAACCTACGACAGCACGCCATCGCAGTATTCGATAATAGGCAGCCCAGGCGTGTAAAACCTGGCTGACTTGACCTGCCCAATGAAAAGGCAAATTACATTTGAAAATATTTAAGCATTATGAAGCATATAATAGGCAGCTGGTTGAAGTGGTGAAGGCTATCATCGGTTGTAACCGCTGGTAACTCAAAGGAAAGCTGAGAAGAGGAACGGACATATCATATAAGAACGAGCTTCATATTGAAGCTACATTTGCAGCGAACTTGAAAATGAGTCTCCTGGAACACCCTTCATGTAGGTGAATAATAAGGTGCCCGGAACTGTGGTGGAAGCCAATTCACCTCAAAAATTACAGGTGCTAGCGCTCAGCTTGGGTGTATGCAAACAATATTGTACTTGTTCACCCAGATAAAACTAATAGGGTAAAAAAATCGGATCAATTTGTGCCGCATAATTTGAGCGAAGAACACAAAACAAAGACGTAGAGAAGCTTGTTTCCTTTTGGTACTACATTACAACATTGACTCACTTCTGCGTTGGATTCAGACTTGCGATGAAATTTTTTTATAATAATCGCAAATCACATTAATGGAAAAATACAACGACTGAAGGAGACAACAAATCATGCAATAAACAATCAGAATTATTAAACAGTGCCAAACTACCTACACTATACGGCAACGCACGACCTTAGGCCATAAGTATTACTATGATAAAGGTGCAGGAGCTACAGTTAAATCTACTACACTCATCAAACATTCCCAAAAATTATTATTTTTTCAAAATCGCGATAATAACGGAGTACTGTTTAAATTCTTCTAACATTATGTTGAAACTTTGCTCGTAAAAAGATTTGAGAAGTTCTCGCATATCATAGTGAACGACCTGATATAGACATATATATAGATATAATAATCAAACTTTAAATGTTACTTTGGGTAAAAAAATCTAAAATACAATATACTGTTACTGTAACGTAAAGAATACACGACTACGGTTTGGACAGGGTTAACGTACAAAATTAGCCGTGGGCCGATGCACTGTCGGTCTCCGACCAACTACTTTGTCCTTTAGTAGTTGGCGGCAGCAAAAAAGCTCCTGCCCAGCCAAATTTGTGGAAACGTTAAGCTATAAGAGCTAGAGGTCAGCCAACTGTTTACGAACCAGATCGAGAACGAAAAAGCTACTCGCTAAACCGCCAAAAAGGTAGATCGCACAATCATTAACGGCGTCAGGTCGTGGTCTAGGTGGTCGCCTGCACTAAAACAAGGGGCGAAGGAACAAATTTAGTCGCTAAAGGTTAGTGTCGACGGAAGAAAACGCGACAGACGAGGAAAACCAGGCGTATGTTGTACGAGGAGCAAGTAGCCAAATGCAAACTCAAGATTGAGAGGCGCCAGGTACGTATCACGACGACAGATATAAGTGTGAGAGCGCAGGGCTAGTGGAGAACTGTTGCGATGGCATACGGCCATTAGGAAGGTTGTATGAAGCACACGAGCCGCACAAAGAACATACGAAGCCGCATGAATAGTTGGTTGGTAGCAATGGCCAAGTATCAAAAAGTAATTAGTAAACAGTCGGTGGTTCGGCCGTTACATGATTTAGTGTTAGTTTCCGATCAACGACCTAATTTTTCACAATATATATATGTATTGTGAAATTGCGTATTATATATATGTAAGGATGGTTTCTGATTGTAGACTGTATTAGAGAAGTTCTGTGAATATATGTAACTCGAAAAAAATTGGTCAAAAAAATTAACCTCATATATTCACTCGGCAACGTAGACGACAATACAAGGGACTCTTTAGGTTTTAATAACCTATATGTACTAATGTTTATTTGTGAATACCAAAAGCTTTTATGCTATATAAAATATATTTGTTAATGGTAATTTCTAGGGTGCTGGTACTAAAAACCGTTGTGCTACATAAAGTGCTATATAAAACTAAATATCAATAAAATAAAACTGATACAATTTCAGTAGTGATTATTTTACTAATTAACTAGACCTTTCCGTGAGTGTCTAACTGACTTCAATTGGTAACGATTAGTTCGTGTGTTTATTTCTCTCCGTTCTGTCGGATCAATGCGCCATGCCTACATTTTCACATAATTTGTTTCTATTTTTGGGGGTTCTATTCAGTTCATATTCGATCAATAATTGAACTATGTTAAAAAATAATCAGTGATTACCTGCAAGAGATTTACTCTTAAGAAGGCACTTGCGGTAGCATATAGAATTAACACATGCTCCATAGAGAAAAAGTTGCGCCGAGAATCGCCTTCATTGTGAATTACTGTAATCTGTAAGACCAATATGAGTCATGTTGTATCTAAATAGCAGACCGTCTTTAAAATGTTTACATATGTTAAGATCTTGATGCAGCTTAATTTATCGTTGCTTCCTAAGCTATATAGGATCTTATTATTAATCCAAATGTATAGAGCATGTTATATGTTATAATTAATTTTTTTAATCTCATACGATAAATGTAATATATAACAAAGCGTGATATCAATTTTCATTTCACATGAATTTTTTGTGCAAGCTGTAATACAAAATACGATTAAAGGCATAGCCAGGTGACTTGCCACATTAAGACGAGACACATACCAGTTTGCAGTGTTATATCTACCTAGTGAACAGGTACCTGGTCAGTCGTCTTGTCCTGTAATGAAGTTACGTCATCGTCTAGATCTCCAAACACATTATGAAATGAAACCTTACTCGCATTCGACTCCCTGTGTCTGTCTGCGCCACATGAAAGGTCATTAAGCATCTGACGTGGCAAGTGTGAACATGTAAAATCCGACTCATTGCAACGTGCACATTTTTCCCAGCCATCATTTGAGACACTTAACTGCCTTTGCAAGGGTCTTGAAAGATTCTTTGCAGACATTTTTCTTCTAATGAGCAGCCTGAGAATAAAGTAAAAAACTGTTATGTTGTAGGTGCTATAAACAAAACCAGCAAAATAGTACTACTGTATAATTGTCGCAGTGTCAGTAATGGTTATTTTGTAAACTGTGTAGGCTTCTTTGTAAATATCAAATTGTTGTAATTCAAATTCGTAATGATAGTCCGTGTCTTTGTCTATTCCCTACTCTGTCCGAACAATAAGGCATGCCGACGTTTTCTTAAAATTTTTCACTGTTTTTGAGAATTTTCTCCAGCTCACAATATGTTGAACCATGTTATAAAATAATCGGTGATATTTTTGTGATAAGTTTGTTACTCTAAAACGTTGTAAATATCTTTTATATAAAGGTTTTCTCGCCAGTACGATATTGACTCGTTTAATGTCTTATTTAAATATAATAGCTTCGCAAACCCATCTTGGGCAGGACTAAATCTCTATATTAAAAGCGAAGCCCAAACGTGAGAACCTACTTTGGTTACTTGGTGAAGCCCACTTTCACACCACGTTTAACACAGCATAAGTTACAAGTTAATGTTTCGTTTTTATTAGTATTCTTAAAACCAGGTTATGCATATGGAATGCTTCTTTAGTAACTGACTGTAAGCCCCTCAAGCTCTACAGCATTGACTGTAAAGCTTAGGGTGCTTCGAATATTTCTATATTTTAACTATACAGGTTTTGTCCGGCAAATAAATTGTGATATTTTCGGTATTGTTCTCGGTAAAAGCATATTTAGAACAGATATGTTCATGTTATTAACAAAGTTAACCAACTTTGGCAGTTTCGGTTCATGCAATCCGTTGTATGTAACGGTGTGAACTTCACATTATAAATACAGTACGTTTCATACAGTAAGTACGCGTACATTGTATACGGAATTTTACAAGTTCAAGTCAGAACAGTCGTTAAATTGTTAAAATATTTCTCATAGTAAGAAATTTAGGCATAACTTCTAAGTACGCTTTATACAGGTAGTTCTTCAGAGAACACCCTTTAAACCCCGAATGCGGTACACCAGCTCAAAACTGCCGAGTTTAATCAAGATGCATTCATTTTTTATAGTTGAATTTTAAGGCCCATACTAGGAAGAAATCGAAATAGGCAAGGTAACCAAGCAATCTGCGATCTCCAGTTAGTGTCTAGTTCCTGTATTATAGTTAATTTCATTTTGGAAAATCCATACTGGCATGTATCAAATTGTTATTGTATTCAACGCTAAGCATTCCAAAATCATCAACTGACAATTTTCTCTACGACTTGAAGACGTGTGTTTTGCACAATTGCCTCTGGTCTTCAAAACGGCTATAAAATCTTTTCTTATGCGCAAATGTAATAATAGATCCTTCAAATCTGGATGGCGCCGTACCATCTTTAGCGCCAACTAAAGATGATGGAATGAAATTCAGATAGTAGACAACGCGAGTTCTCAAAATAGTACAGGAGACAGCTTAGCTGGCACGACGTTACATAGTTACGTTTTCATTCAGTCTCACCAATTTTACGAAGACATCTTCTGGCCTATAGTTAACGTAATTCAGTCATTTGCCGAAATACCGTAGAAGGTTGGAAGAAAACGTGCTATAGCCGTGATTAACGTATTTTCTTCTAATCTTCACAGAACTGTAGCGCCTACGGTAATTGGATATAAAAAATAAATATAAGGAATAAAAAATTAAGGATGCATGAACAGTCAGCTTACCGAGAACTAATTTAAATTGAACCTTCGCAGAATTGCAATTCACGAAGACGAAACACCAGCCAATCAAACAAAGTGCACCTTTAGGTCTTTTGGCGGAAGGCACTGTTTAGGCTGGTTATAGGAGAAACAGGTTTAGGTTCTTCAGAGTGTCCCCCAGTACGTCGTACTTACGGTTTCGAGCTATTTAAGCAATCAGACAATGACAAGTGAAAAGACTCCGTTTGTTACGAGCGCTGAATGAGCGCCCAAATCCCCGATCCAGTTGGATCCCCAAAATTATTAAGCTCTGTTCTCTCACGTTTGACCTCAATTGCTGTGCCCGGGTATTTTTTTCCTATTTATTAGGAGCACTGTTTCTCACTTAATTGATACTAATCTCAGCGTGTATTCTCTTATCCAGTATCGTTACCACAAGGTGGTCCTCGTATGCCATCAGGTTTACTTCCATTGAGGGGTCTGGTACTATCATTCCGTCGTAATATCAGATTTCAAAGCAAGAGTCCCAAAAAAAGCCTCTCGGGCAATGCGGGTTACAAAACACATAAAGATTGTGATCGCCACAAAGATAAGCCTATCAAAAATAGTGCCAAACATACATGGCACTTGACTTAAAAAATGCTGTTGATAATAGTGGCCGAATCAATCGTAATCGCTGAAATCTTAATCTGGACAAGGCTTAGGCTCAGCTCAAAATTTACACTCAACGTGTTCTTGCCCTAAAGGTATTTCGGGCGTACTGCCCGGTCAGCATGCAGGGAGCCTTCGTGCTGACAGGCACTGTTATATATAAAAGCTAAACATCGACAGATAGCTTAAGCAGACCCGACAGCGGACACAAGGGAACCTTACTGAGCTAATCGCAAAGAAATGGGCTGCCGTTCCCTTTTACACCCCTGGACCAATTATAGGGGACACCATTCCAAACATTAGAGATCGTCCAAAGAGGCTAAGAGGCAAACTAATGTACTTCCTCACAAAAGTGCTTACAAACCACAGGCAATTAAAAAATTACCTGCGTGAAATAGAAAAGGCCCTTTCGGGCATGTGCCTGCAATGCACGGGCGGAGCACAAGACGCGTTTCACACCATAGCATAATGCAAGGCGCGATATAATTGAGAATTACTAAGTGGTGGTTTCGGCGAGACCAAGTACACATCCGGGGGGCAAGCCCGATATTTAGCCCACATGATGTAGGCGTTGTCCCGGTGGTGTCTGGTTATACTTATATTGAAAAAATTCAGATTTGTGAAGAAATAATCTGAGTATGCTAATGATGGCTCAACCGTTTGCTACCATCTCCTTGCCATCGAAAAAAAAATACAAAAAGATCGATATTCAGGCCTGTTCTGCTTTATAAAGGAATTAGTTGTGATAACGATCAATAAAAATAAATGACTAAGTCCCTATATAATTTAAAGGCTACGGAACGTTCTACTTAATGCTAGATAAGTTAACTGAACTGGCTCATTGTTTTAATTTAGAATCTCTACTTCAAAGCTTAAAATGGCATCCTCCCCTTAGACTCAGCAATCAACAAAAAGATCGGAACAATATTTAGACACATCAGTGTAAAATATTATCATATATCTTCAAGAAGTAAGTTACAAATATTAAAGAATTATCAACAATGTCACTTACGAAAAAGGTTCAACGACTTTGGATACTTGTAATAGTTTCCTTCAGAAATCTTGTAATACACGTCTTCATAGATTTTCGAAGTTGGAAGGACGATAATCTTGAAGGCAAGGCCATACTACTACATGAAATAGTTTAATTTGCAAAATCAATGATGCAAACAATGATCAATGATGAGGATGAGTTGCAACATCAGAACAAAGTCTATGTAATAATAATATGATGGAGTAATAATATGAAGTATAATAATGTCATAATGGGACATTTCAGTAAGAAAGCGGAATTATTCCAGCAGGGTAACCAATCACTGCTGGAATATGGTTACAGAATATTTCCCAAAGTAAGTAGATCATTGACACAAAGCAAGAAATTCACTAGATTAGAGAGGTTTGACTATTGAAACCGGATAGGAACGATTGGATAACAGAATTAATACAATATGAAATCAACTAGCCGTTTGTAAAGGTTTCTACAATCTAATTATGATTCATATTCGGTTGAGTGTGTTGGGTAACGGGATTCCTAATTAAGCCTATTGCTCACTATAGTCTATCTCTTTCCTGCTAAATCTTGGTATGTTGGTACTGTGAAGCGGAGTCATATTAATAAGATTACCAACCACCTAGAACAGGACAACAGAATGACTGCTGCAAGGTGACGTGGTTACAGCCACATAGTAACAAATACTAGATCAGAGAAATGATTAACCGGATAGTCGCAGCGGAATAATAGAATTCATATAACAAGGTTTAAAAAAAACGGACGCCTGTAAAGATACCGATTTATAAACGAGTTAGATTAAGTGTAACACGAATCGAATATTATAACGGGCTGATGAGACAACTGCAAAATGGTAACAGGACTGCTGAACAATTCCTATGAAAACACGAGATGCGCGTAGCGAGACAACTCTTATAGGATAAACCTTGATACACATTATTGTTCGCATAAGGCTGAGTATATTATAGATGAACCAACTTAATTACATCAACTCAAGACAGGCGCTGGGCAAAGCTCACGGGTTCATCTAGTACATAATAATATACAATCATACATAATGCATTGTGTTAATTTTCTGTGTATTCGCTAGTTAGTACTGCAAGAAATGGCATCTGACACTTACCTGCATGCCAAAACAGTTTATGGTATACGAAAAAAAAGATGAAGGATACAGGCACTCCTACATAATAACTTTGCAATTAACGCGTCACACTGAATCGTAGGTCAAACGATTGAAGTCGTTCACGTGTACCTGTATAGCATCCAGATCACTAGGACTAGTACCGACCATAACTAGTAGACAAAATGGGCACTATTCAGCGACGAATCTGTTGGTAGGACTTTCGTTATTGGGCCCGCGAACTCAACCAATAGATAATCCTGGTAATCCTCCGCTAGTTAACAAACAACCATGACGATGACGTTCCACTAGCATCACCAGTACTAAGCTAAGCTATCGTTATTATTACCTCCTCACTTCTTTTAGGAAATTCTGTACACTCTATATTAGGTACTCAAGGAAAGTATAGACTGTTTTTCTAGCTAGATGACTCTAAAATCACATATTACAAGCAACGGGTCGTGTCGGGTAGAAGTTACCGTAATTTGAAAGCTAAAATTCGGCAGTAGATGTGAAATTGTTGAATATCTCTATACAGGTTTAGAATAGAGCACATTGAATATGAACGAATCTTCCGCAGACGTTTGCTATATTTTGATTTTATTATGATAAAGACACAAATGTTGCTCAGGCTCATAAAAAATGTGCTATTTATGGTCACGATGGGTTATCAGAAGAAAACCCTAAAGATAGTTTTTTCGTTTTGGTCCTAAAGTTTCAACATGATATATTACGGAAAAGTTATTGTGAAAGTATTAATACCAAGGAAAACACGTGGATAGCCATGTAATCATCCGGAAGCCCAGCATGAACTACAAAATTATTTTAGATTATTTGGTTAGAAAACTGGTTACAAAAAAAGACCCAATAGTATTTCCATATGCGAAACAATAGAAAGGAGATGAAATCGAGCCATTTCTAAAGTGGTTCATTGTGAGTGGTGAAAAATAGATGACATACGACGATAATGCGCAAATGAAAAAAATGTGCTCCACAATCTGTGGCAAAGCCCAAACTGTCACCACAGAGGATGATGCTATGTGTTTAGTGGAACTAGAAAAAAATTATGCATAATGAAGTGCTATTGTCTGGTACAATAATCGATTTAGACGCATGCTGTGAACAACTAGCAAGGTTGCAGCAAGCCATTTATAAAGGAACTGACCGGAACTAATGAGCAGAGGAGGAATCTTCTTTCACCACGAACCAAAATATACAGGTCGTTAACGTACGCTTGCTATTCCAAAGGATGCAGTTTTTTTTGTTGGCTACCTCAAGTAACACTGTGAATCGGGCGTACGATCTTACTCCCTTCGTTAAAACCCGCCTTAATTAGTATCTGGAACAGCCTAGCGATTACAGTACTATGTCTATCTACTCTTTCTCATAACAATATGTACTACTTGTCTCTTATTACTTTCTTATCCCTACTAAAACTGACCCACAGATCGATTTCTTTTATTGACAATTCAGTTCTTCGATTACCAAATTCGTTCAATACAGCGAATTTAGATAATACACATTATATTCGTTTTACTTTCCAAGCTGAATAAGAGAACATATGCTTTATATTTTTCGGAAGGAAACCAGAGAATGTCTTTCAAGGTTTTACCGATTTTGTTTATCTTATTAGTCTTACGGCAACAGCTTTCGTACCATGATACCGCAGCCAAAATTTCGGAAATAGGGTTATGACTGTAGGAATTAACTGTTAAAGGTCATGAGAAAGAAATGCGGTAGACTGCCTCTTAAAAGGTCAATACAAAAGGTAAAATACATTTTTAGGTTTTCTCAGGTTAGTCTACAATAGACAAAAGCTACAAAAAAAACAATAAAAATATTTTACTCCCAAAGGAAGTAATAATTGAAATGTGTGTCCGATGTGTTGTTTATACAGATCTGCCAAACATATGGAAAGCAAGAGTAGGTCGTACCAATGCTGTTAAGATTATATCGAACGGGAAAGATCACTTTAAAGTATATTTTTCCAAAATTCTAACGAAGTTTTTTTTTTGTTATCAGTGAATCTATTATTCCGGCGTCAAACACGTCCCTATTCAAGTTTTTCCAACAAAAAGAATGAGTCTTTCTTTCCCGAAATTTTTCATATACCCTCCATGAAAGAACTCTGATAATTGCCTCAAGACTAATGCGCGTGGTTTTTTCCTATCTACGATAGTCCTATGAACAGGGCATCGAATTGTGATAGCTGACGAGTTAGTGTAACGCATTATTTTTTCAATATTGTAGCATTTGTCACGCCTAAATTTTCTTGAAGATTATATATAACTAATGATAATTTTTGCGTATTTATGGTCTCAGAATTTACCTTAGCAGGTGGGGAATCTGCATGTATGAGCATGTTTAATTTCTCTTTGATCTCTAGCAAGCAAGCCTTCACGCATTCGGATAGCGGCGTCGCTTTGAAAATTCCTAGCACTCTAAATTGCTTTCTCTAAGTCAATGACTTCCATGATACTGTTATCATTTTGAAGTATTGCGGAAAATCTTCGCATTGAATTTGTCAATTCTGTGAACGGAAATGATATTCTTGAAGTTTCATCCCGTCAGCCGTCACTTCCGATTAATAAGTTTTTGAAAGCTTTTTTTAGCTTGGTATAGTTCATAGGAAAAAAAGATATTGCGCTGTCTAACAAAATATACATCTCGCTCAGAAGCTACCCTTCTTGGTGATACTAGTTCTAATATCTGTCTCGATCACATCATTCAGACAGCACTCACAGCATGTAAGCACTCAGGCAGTTCTGAGATGATCTATTCTAGTTCCCGTGATAATTTTACTATTTGTGATAAAATCGGAAAATCCCATATGCACCTATCTCTCAAAAAATCTAACAACAAAGTAAAGTGTAATTTAACAAAAATTCATATTGACCTTATAAATCTAAACTGATTTCAATCTTCAGGCTCTTTTGTGGCTGCTTAGAATCATGGAAATCTGTTTAATGTAAGTAAGCATCATAAGACTTCTGAAGTATGTTTATTATAGGCACCTGATTTTTTAAAGCCGTACCAGAAGAAACTCGCTTTGGATTATCATTAATAATATTCTCGGACGTATTCACAGAGCCTTTCATCTGTTCACCCAAAAAAAAGGACTGAAGCATTTCACGTATGTTATTTAAGAGTAACCAATCAACAGCCAATAATTATGTGCTTCCCGATAGGTTTTAGACCATCCACCAGTTCGTATTTTTATTTTATTACTACTTATTGAGTAAAGTTGAGCATGCCCTAGCTATATGTAACCCACATCTACTAATTAACAGGTACAAGTTATTGTGCTACGCAGCTGTGCTCGATCGCTAGCGATTCGTGTTGCAAAAACTGTAACATCATCTATCATTTAAACTAAAGGAAATTTTTTGTTAAGCTAATGGTAAACAAAAAGATGATAAAAGTACGGAGGTAAAAACAAACTACACCACCAAAACTGTTGAAGTAAATAGACGGCAATAAATAGGATAAAAGTTGGAAACGATTAATTGAAATTTGCCAATACAAAGAATAAATCTTCTTATCCGATATGGGAACCAGGTTACTACCATTCTTTAAGTAATCTTTAGCTTTAATGAGTTAATAATACCATGAACAGACAAATTAAGGTCGTACCGCACGTGTCATATAAGCTTAAGCTATACAAATCACGAGGCTTTACACAGCTGAGCATTACAGTGAACGCAAGTTATAATAAAGAGTTATTTGGATGCGGCTACGAAACCAATATTCTTCCACTAGTGAGTCGAAATACAAAATCCGCGGCTGTTCTACAATATTCTGCAATCCCATATAGATGGGCTTGTTTAACTGCTGTTTTTCCTTTCGGCAACATTGTTTAAAAGATGCTAGTGGATCAAGTGAACATTTCCTTTATCTCAGTTTAACGTACTAAATTCCACTTTCTAGGGCTTCCGTAACTTTTGTAGTGCGATTTATCCTGACTTAACTTATACTCACTTCGCAAAGCCATAGACAAAGCCTAACATGCATTTGCTGTTTTACTTAGTTTTTCGTTAAGTTCCTCCATATATCACATAAAATTTTAAGCCTGTCATTTCATGGTAGCGTAATGCATTCGGTTGTGGCTTTTCCTAGTCGATATGCTGATATCCGGGTGGTATCGATACAGTGCAGTAGTAACGTATGTGCCTACTAAGCGAAAAGACGCAGAGGTAGTGTACGTTCAAACCGGGATGTGGATACACTTCTTAATACTTCAGAAAGATCCGAATTACAATAGAAAAGACAATTATCATTGTAATTATTTTTCTTCGCCAGCTTGATCTTTCCGAAAAGTATGTATTAAGCCCTCTGCTGTGATAAGCCTTTGAGGCAATGCTAAGAAAGTGGTATTAAATTGTTGAAAGTCAGTTACAGAATAGCTTATCAGTGGCTTTCCGTGCTTTCCAGTTTATGTGCTGGCTCTTATTAATTCTATTTTTAGCAACAACAAATGCTATTTATTTTTTATTTTTAGTCATATTTCAGTATGTATAATCAGACTAGACTTTGGGACATTGTTGGATTAAAATAAATGATAAGATTACGAATTTGCTCACTTCTAGCTGCATATCAATTATTATCTTTCAATTTTCCTTCGTACGACTTCGACTTTCTTGTGGCAATATTGTATCTGTAATGAGTATCCTCTTAGAGCCGCTTCACTGTCAACTGGAGTGTACTCTCGCTAGACTTAATTATTTATTTATATATTTGTTACTCATATATAGTGTGAACAGGGTTCTACCCATCGGCCTCTTAGTCAATCAAACATCTTGTTCCATAGATAAAGTAAATGTATCAGGTTATCCCGAACTATTGAGCAGTTGCAAACCACGTAATTAAGGACAAAGATATTTTGTATATTAGACTCACTCGCTTTCATTACTTACACATTGGAAATTCTTTTAAGATCTGTGTGCTTTACTATACCCAATCTCATTTGATGGTTTGAGTCAACGATAGTTTAGTTGGGGTATCAACGATAGGAGGCACCTATCACTCCAGTAAAGACAAGCAAGGTCATACTGATTTCAATCTCTCGCTCGATTGTGTTTGCTTCGACCCAGGCCGTTACTGAAGCGTGAATATGTAGCTTGTAATTAAGTATCCACATTTTGAGTTCTCTATTGTCGCGTCAGACATCTAGAGTTTTTTAAGGAATCTGAAATATTTGGCAATATTGAGCGGTGTCGGGCAATATTTAAAATCAAATGCCTCTAATATGCATTGCAAGACTCATTTTCATGTTTACAATTGCCTTATTTTTACTTTTTGGACCAATAATTTACAATATTTTCAGTAGTAGAAGTTTTACCGAAAACATATATGATGAGCTGTCTCCGTCGCTATTTCAAGGCAGAACTCCTACTTATAAATCATTCGAATTTGTGGGTCGCAGCAGCTCGCCTACAAAAAGTCCAAACGACAATATCAAAGTAAATGGACTCAGATTTAAAAAAGTACAAGTACCCAAACACAAAAGTACATAAATGTCATACCGTTATATAATAAAACTATTTTGGAATATGAAATTAATACATGACATGCTTGATGCTTGACGACCTAAAGTTTCCTTGAATACATTTTTTTATTGTAATAATTTCATTTACTCTCCATTGTTTTACTGAGATGAAATCAAAGCCAATAAATTGATAGTTTAGTTTTTATGGAAGCGGTAAGCTGGTTAATGATTTGGTCGAAGTCGCAAAACGGTCGCTGGAATGCTTAGCCGATTGGGAACTGCCCCTTGTCATGTGCACCAAAAGGAAACCTAAATGTATCACCGGCTTGCAAAAACACGAAGATGGTCGACGTACTAGGTCATGAGGCGGACGTATTGATGTTTACAGGGAACAGCCCAGGCTCTTTATCTCAATATCAGTGCACAAAAGATGTGCAGAAGCTTTAAAATTAACTGTAGGAACGCTTTTCTTCCAAGAAAGCAGGCTGCAAGGGCAAAGCTGGCGAGACCTTCACCGAGTTCGTGAATGGCAGATGATCTTTGACAAAAGAGTTGGTTATAGAACTCAGGTTTAGAGTTTTTTTTAAGCAGAATCAGAAAACAAAGATATCAGCACATTTTGCTGATTTTCTCACCACGGAAAAAGTGTCATAATATGCTAAGTTAAGTTGGATACTACAAGACTATATGCCGGAAAGCCCAGCACTTACTGATATGAGCAGTCTCAGCAAACTATGGTAGCTTCGCGTTATGTGATCAAAGTCTGGTTCAATGACAGGAGTCTACGTCCCTTTCCACTCCATTGACGACAGCCCTGCGAATACGCCGATCGACAAAGGTGAGCACGGACATCTTGCAGTCGGAACAGCTGAGATCACTACAAGTACCACCACGACCACAATATATACGTCGGGCACGACGAGAAGCCTCGTTGTGCAAGCCTATTAGTGCGAGCTCTTGCAAGATACAGTCAATCGCGTCAAAACTCAGAAGTTATGCAACCCGTTAATTGGCTTTAGGAACAGTGAAATCATGTCCGTACGAGAAAAATGTGAGGAAATCCGAATAGCGCAACGTGAAGTTGGATAAACTGGGTTGTAAAGGATCCCGGCCATGGAATGCGGATATTCAGCCGAATAAGCGTGGCCGAGTTTACGGTTTAAATAGATAAGTAAAACACCTGCGACTATTTAGTCGCAGAACGAGTGACCGAAATACTCTTCCCTGTCAGCCAACAGCAAAACTAAGCTGATCCGCTCTAATATTGTAGTATAATAGCTAGATCAATAGGGCTTAAACATGTATATAAAGCGCCGTCTAATACCAAACCAATAGAAGTGTGCCAGTAGCAACATTGTTATTAATAGCATTTTTGCGCCACCAGTGACAATCTTGAAGTGATGCCTACACAAATGTGGAAATGTGGCCTGGATTTCTTAATGGCTTTCCAGCTTAAGATAAAGCTTAAGATATTGTTTAGTTAGCCATGTTCTCGATTAAAAAAATTCACTTGATTATTTAAACGCGCTAATAAAGGTGACTATAACCTTTAGTTAGATAAGGATGATTCGATGAAGTATTTAAAAGTATGAAATAAATCTTCTTTGTTACTGTTGCTCTAAATCAATAAAAAATAAAGTCCACAATAGGGCTATCGGTCGCATCAAAGAAAAATGGCCTTGAAAAGTAGTATGTGACAACAAAATGTTCTAAGCTTCCATCAAACAGCTGGCTTATAGCACAATACCAAGGCTTTGAACCCAGACTACAACATGTCCCTCAGGTTTATCAGGCCAACACAGAGTTGTGCGATAACAAAAGATATTCATCATGTTGTAGTGCGCCTCTTTAACGTCGTTGCATTTAAACAGGAAGCAGCCATTTGTAAATGCATGCATCATAATCACCTGATGCTTAAATGAAGTGAATCAATAAGTTTTCAATCAGCACAAATTCGAAAATACGGGATAAGGAAAATAGTAAGATTTTTTAAACTACGTAGATTCATTACGTTTCGTGCTTGTAGCCAGCCGTTCTTTTGGTATTCCGAACGACTTAAGTACCGGAAGTAAAACTTACTTGCTTGTTACCCGTGTATTTCTTCTATAATAACAATCATTCTTCTCATCATTTTGCACTCTTAAAATGTCGATAAGTATTCGAAGGATAGAACGTTTGCTTTGTAACATAATAAACATCTTAAACATAATTTCAAATAATTAAACAAATTTACAAATATTTATGTACATAAAAGATCGTGATGTCATTATTAGTATAATTAGGTTATTATTATATATTAACGAAAAGGTTGGTTGCGTTGTGTTTACACATCCATTGTGCACTTTCCTTTGGTATTGATGTTTACATGATAATTATTGAGGATCGTTAGATACCCCATTTGATAAACCCCCTTAGAAGCTACTGCAGGCTGTCTGGGCAAATTCCAGACATGGATTAGAGTACACTGTTCTGTAATATTA